TACACTGCTGAGGGGAGCAGTGGGCAGGTCAGGAGAGGTCTGTTGTGCTATGTGGGTCATCTCCCTGGCCAGGGATCAAACCTGTGCTGAAGCAGCTGTTTGGTTTGTAGTGCCATGCTTTAATCCTTTGCACCACCAGGGAGGGCCCTCTTCCTATTCTTAACTAAAACAAAAGCACCTACTGATCCTGAATTGGCTTTCTAGAAAATTGAGTATTTGTTGAGGGGCAACTGTAAACATTTCTTTCATTGGGAAAGATTTCTTTCATTACTTCACAACATAGATTCATAAATTAGTATCAGATTCATACAACATTTATATTAATTTAGCTGGACCTGCTTCAGGTCATTTTGGTATAAAAAAAAAAACCATGGAGCTCATGAAATTTCAGATATGTGTATAGAGTTTTAGCTGGCAGAAGGAATTTCAGGATTAGGATAAAGGATGGGAAGGATGAAATGGGAGAGAGAGAAATAAAGGGGGAGGCAGACTGATACACTCTGCATGACTTCTTTGCAGGAGGATAGAGAAAATAGAGTAGAGAAACACCAGCACAAGGCCCAGAGCATGGCTCACCCCACACTCTTACCTTAGATTGAGGGGGTCCTCCATGACGCCTCTTCCTCTCAAGTTGGACTGGAAAGAGCAAAAGCTAGGCAAAAAGGGAAAGAGGCATCTGTCAGCAGAGTCACTCACCCACGACCAGGGAAACTTTTCAGAGGCGGCAGGAGATTGGGTCCTTCTTGCCTCCATGCTCCAGCTTGCTCCCTGCTGGTGAGCAGCAGACTTGGGTAAATCTCTGAGGCACCCCCTGCTCAGCACCCTCTGATATCATACAATCTAGCCTCAATAACAGTGAAGCAATAAAGTGATAGAACAAAATACAGAGTTTTTGAGCCCTCCTCTGGGCCAGGCATTTGACATTTCCATTGCTAATGTCAGTATCCGCTGCTGTATTCCAAGGCCAAATGCCAAGTTAATGCAAGGCTTCTTGGGCATAGCAGGGGGGTAACTGGGCACTTCACCTTCTGAGCAATGAATGGGCAAGGCTTCTAGATTAGCTGTGAAAAACCTTAGTTTAATACATAGAAATCACCAAGGGAAATGAATGTGAGTGAGGTTCAGCATTGTTTGTTCTACTTGGTTTGGTCTAAAAGAGAACTTGAAGACAATTTTAGGAGGTGATATAACAGCAGCCCTTGGAAGAACCTCAAAGAGGGGCTCAAAGTCCACAGAGATGTACCCAGAACTGGTGCAAACAGCCTCTGTGCGGGAGCTATTTTTCTCTCTCTGGCCCTGTCCTTTGGACCCAGTCACGGGTCTTGATGCCAATGACTGGTGAGTGCCAACAAGAAGGCAAGGCTAGAGCCTCTGATCACAGAACAGGGCTTTCCAGGCCTGGATGCCAGATGACAGCTCAAAACTTCCAGCCCAAAGTGGAGCAGAGCATAACTACGGTCCCCCAAGTTCTGTATGATCTGTTTATGGCTAGTAATCTACTTTCCCTTCTGCTCCCTCTAGATCCTCTATAAGTTATCTATTGTCCATAATTTTAGTCATAATAAAAATAAATAATTATTAGTGTTAAAAATTTAGACACTAACTTAAATTTCTAAGATTGATTAATCTATTTGGAGAAAGAGAAATTAAACTAAATCAGTAGGCCTCTTTCTTTAAGGGAAAAAAAAAGACTGTTTAATGCAGAAGATTCAGAATTGGGAAATCAGTTGTTTGGAGGCCTTTCCAATGAAACACGAAATTGGAACAACTAAAATTGGCAACTGGGATCAAAAACAAAGATTAAACCCAAAAAATATTACTTGGAAAATTAAAAAAACAAAGCCAGAAAGAGCAGGAAGTCCCAGTAAACAGCCAGTTTTCTTAAATATGTTGTGTCTGCACAATTTTCTCGCATCAGTCATTACTGCAGCACATGGAAATGGAGCCTGTTTCCCAGGGTTTGGAGAGAATACATCTTTTATATCTTTCTCTCTACGTTGTCCTATGATTATTCAACAGCCCTGTGGGTTGGTAAGTTCCTCCTTGTGTCTAACCTAAACCTTGCCTGCCATGGGTTCAGAACATTTCTCCTAAGAACAGTGCTAGACAGTCTCTTGTTTCCTCCATGGCAGGTTTTCAAACTCTTACCTTTTGAAGGCCTTATTTCGATCACCATTGTGGAAGACAAGAAACTTGGAATATCCATTTCGGAAAAAGATCTCCAGGGCAATGTCCTGTAAAGAGAAATCACCTTTACTGTTCCTAAAGCTTCCTGGCATGCAGGCTCCCAGGTATCAGAGCCAGTGGCAATGGGCTCTTGGTTCCCTGTGGCAGGCAACCCTCACTGGGTAGCAGAGGGTATGAAGGCCTTGGTGTCAAAAACGAACAGGAGGACAGGGGGCCACAGAGCCCCTTTCACTGAAGGGGGAAGCAAAAGCCCCCAGATAAGTGAGGAGCAGATGAAAAAAGGTGCCCGGTGTCACCTTCGGGCACTTTCACTTCTGGGTGGTGGGTATGTTTTCTTGAGCCAGCGGATCACATTACCAAAATGCAAGGGGAGCTGATTCAGTGGGTGTAACTCCCCATCCAGGCAGCGCCGAGTGCCACCTACAGGCCAAAGGCCAAGGAGGTTTGCCAAGACCCATTCGCGGAGCATCTGATGTGGTTCCTCTGTTGTAGCAACATCACGATCAAGGGCATTCTGTTAATGTCTAACTGAGCTCTGCATGATTTTTTTTCCCACTTCCCTTTTCCCATCTCTCCTTGTTTCCATCCCTTCTGTCCCAAGCTTTGTAGATAACGATTTGAAATTGCTATATCAAGACTCATGAAGGAAGAGACTCAGGGGTGGCAGGGATCAGGGAAAACATTCCCAGAAAGGGACTCGGACTCAGAGGGTCCTGCCTGTGCCTGGCTGGAAAGGAGCTCTCAAAGTCCAGTTCATTAAGCTCTGGAGCAAAAGGGAAATTCTTTGTAACAGCAGAGCTTCAGATGTTTTCCTATGAATGGGAAATAGTGAAGAATATCCAAAGTGGAGAGGTTACAATCTGCCCCCGAAACCACAGTGCATAGGACCTGACTTTCTCCTGGGAGAAGTCAGGCAGGACCAAAGACAGCCTTGCTCCCAGAGTTCTCTCACCCACTGGCCACACCCACACATGCCTTCCGACTTCTGGCCTCACCACTGTCAGCATCACCAACCACCAGAGACAACCACATTTATCGAGTGGAAAGAAACTCACTCGTACCTTTTTGCTACTATATGCGTATGTGTCGACACACATACATGCACACATGTAAAACATGTGTATACACACACACGTGTGTGTGTGTTCTGAGCTCTATCTCTGAAAGGAATTGGTTTTGCTTAGCACCTGGGTGAGTCCCTGAAGGAAGTAGGTAAGGCTCTGGGACATGGTAGAAGGGACAATCACATCTCTAAGCCACTTGGCCCTTGAAAATGGCCAGGAATTTAGAGATAGGTGAGGCAGTGGGATGGAGGGCAAGTGGCAGCCAATGGCAGGGGCCCTGCCATATCAGAATAGAGCAGACCTCACTCAATTCATAGTCATCAGTTCTGCAGGAGGCAATGGAGTTTCCCTGTCCTATATTCTTGAATCTGCAGATGAAAATAAAACAAAGAGACAGTATCCTAAAAGATAAAGCAAGACCGAGCTAGAGAAGGGCCCGGCAGTCAAATGGAGGGGTCTGAGGAGAGAGTTCAGTGAAAGTCAGAACTCTGAGCTAGGAGACTGAAACCACCATGAGCCTAGGAAATTCTTGGGGTGTCCCAAGGGCATGGACTGTGTGCAGACATGAAGGTGGGTGATAGGGGTATGTTCTTCACAATCAAAAGGATCTTTGATGGTCTCTGGACCATCTCCCCATGAAGATGTTGCTCCCCCTGGCCCCTCTGTGGACATACCTGCAGGAGGAAGCGTGCCTGCTGGAGCTCCCTGACATCACCATAGCTGTGTCTCTGGCACGAGTAATGGTCAGAGGATCTGTCTTTGCTGCACATGCTGAAAATGAATGGATCACTGATGCTGCAAAGGAAGCATGGCATGTAGTGAGAAGGTGACTGTGGGCTTGTTCCCTTTCCTGCTGTTTCTGCATATACAAGGGAGGAGTGCCATGGTCACTGGCAACCAGGTTGTCAGCACCCACCAACCTGCCTGTGCTGAGTCTCCTGCATAACTAAACCTCAAGGATGTGAACTCAGGCTCACTGCCAAGTCCTCCTGTCCCTTCTTAAAACAACCCTGCTCTGAGATGTATAATAGAACAGCTACAGGATTTATTGACTACCAATGTGGCTTTGGTTCTGGATGTTTCTTTCTGCACGCTTTAATTCAAACCTGGTGCTGGATGAGACCCTTTATCCATTATTAATGCCTCCCTTTGGGACTACACTGAGTTTTCCCTAAACTCTTCTGACTCCCAGTGGAGCCACTGTGGTAGGTCAAAAGGCATACCAGGTCAAGGGGTCCATGAGAGTGACAGTGATGACTCCGCTCCACTCCCATGCTTGCAGGAACCACAGTGAATCCCCTAGACCTCAGCCCTGTGGAGGAATGAGTCCAGTAGGCCACAGACCTACACCCACTCTGTTAAGGCATTTTCCTGGACCGCTTGCTGAGTGGACTGACAGTTGTCATGCTCTGCTGTCCACCCATGACTTCCATGTTCCATGTGTAAGGGAATCCTCACATGAACCTTCTAAGCATGTGTTATTATTCTCAAATCAGAAATGAAGAAATAGCATTTCAAAGAGAAGTGACTTTTGCGAGGTCCTAGGAAACTGGCTTTAAATTCAGCTCTTCTAACCCAAGCTCAATCAACAATATCTTTTTCCCCCTGAGACGGAAAGTCTCTCTGATATTCACAGACCTCTTCCTTCTGGCTTCCTCCTTCCATTTTAGTATGTGCTGAAAGATTCTGTCACCTAGGACTCTGAGACCCAGAAGACATGAGGAAGAATGTTCTGGAAAATGCTTTTAGGAAAGATCTTTCAAGAGAAAAAAAATATTTTTTTCTCTTCCTGCTTGTAGGAATTGAACAATGGAGCAGAAAAGCTCAACCAGTCCCAAATGTTCAGGAAGAGTAAGTTATAAACAACCTTACTGAGCTCACTGATGTCAGTCTAAATTGGGTTTCTGTTGAATGTAACACTGGTCACACAGCTGTCACTGGATCATTTTTGTTCTGTCGTTCCATGCATGAAATCAGAGCTCAAGACCTTAAAGTGAGTGAGTAGAAAGGAATAGCCATGTTCTTCGTAAGAGGGAGCTGAATAAATTCAATTATTGACTAAATATATATCCAGAATCATTTACTAGATGACTCAGATCTGGTTCAATTCTTTATAGCTATGGACTCTACCACAGTGATTAGCTAAGATACGTATTGGTTGAACTGAATTAAATAGAGAAATGATACTTTATAAGACTGACTACTGATGCACAAGATGTATCTTATTAAAAGCATCTGATGATAAAGAGCCAGTTGAGTGGCTTGGATTCCAAATGAGTCAAATGCTGTAGCTTTGTGAGCTTGGCTGTCACTGTTACAGGCTGTGTCATGTATTCCCTACTGCACAGAGAGGTAGGTGGAATTCCTAAACCGTAGTAAATCAGAATGTGACTATTTAGAAACAGGTGATACCAGAGAAAAAAAAAATTGGTTCACTAAGATAGCCCCTAATTCAATATGACTAGTCTCTTTGCATAGAGATAAAATTTGGATACAGACACACAGAAGGAAGAGGATGTGAACACACTCAAGGGGAAGATGACTATGGGTCTGTAGAGGTATATTTATAAGCCAAGGCTTGCAAAGAATCACCAGAAGACAGTGTTATGGAAGGACCCTCCTCAAGAATTGTCAGAGGAACATGGTCTTGCCAACATCTTGATTTTGGACTTCTAGCCCCTCAAACTATGTGACAATAATTTTTGTTATTTTAGGCCACTCAGGTTTTGATGCTTTATTACAGCCGTTCTAGCGAACAATCAAGTAGGGGCTGCACTAAAAGCAAAAGACAAGATTTTCTTCTTAATTTCTGAGGAAAGACCTAAGTATACAAGTTCAGTCAGTGCTGGAAGACTTATAGTGTTCTTCAACTTTATTTGGAATACTTTATGGCACATCAGAGTCTTTTTCAAGGTCTAATGCTCAACTATCTCAGTTTGATAGCAGTTTCAGAGAAACACTTCAGGGTTGAATTAGCTTTATTTTTAAATGACTTATTTATGTATTTCCTTTAGTCTACATGGTCAAAATAAGACTTAATCCCCATTGATCTGACATGATCTAATAGCCTGTCTCTGAGAACCACATTTTCACGCATGCCAGCAGCTTCTTTGGCCAGTAGATGAGATCTTGGAGGGGAAGCACTGTCTGGTTAACAAATACTTCCTTGAGGTATGGTGACTAAAATTACCCATGCAATTCCCAAATGGTGCTCTGGGATAGTAATTTGTTCTCACTACACTCCTACTTGCATTCTAGAAACCTGCACTTCCAGACATGGGAAGTCTCCCTTGTCACTACAAATCAAGAGAGTACATACAATCTGATGACTGGGCTTCTATTAAAAGTGCATATATAGTCAATTTGATCATGATTAGCTACACCTCATAAACGCAATCTCCCTAATCAATAAGATTTTATCTAACACTAACTCAATTTAAACCAGTGGTGGAGAGTGAAGCAATGGATTATGCAAGTCATTACACCGGCACCCACCCAGCATATAGGTGGAGTCGAAAGCTTTCATCAGCTCTCAGAAAGGCAAGTCTGCAGAACCATCGTCCCTATTGATCAGTATCAATAAAACATGAGCAATAAAATGGGATGAGTGTGCCAAGTATTAATTATTCTCCTCCTGCCTTGGAAAAATGCAGAAAACTCCCAGCAATCGGTGAATGTTTGTTATGAATAAAAGATGGAAATTAGCAGAGAGAAAAACACCAAGAATTTTAAAGCAAATCTAAATCAAAGGAGGATGGGCTGACACCTGTCCTTCCAGACTCCTTTAAACACCTGCTTCCTGACACAGGCTACATTAGTGACTGGCAGGAAAAACTATAGTTCCTCTTACCAATAGCATACATTAGAGGTTCTCAAAGGGTGGTCCCGGACCAGCAGTACCAGCTTTAATTGAGAACTGAGAATATTAAAATCTTAGGTCCTACCCGACCCCTATTGAATTAAAAGCTAGGATAATGGTCAGGTTCTGAAACCTATTTGAACAAATCCTCCAGGTGATTTCCTGAAAGTTAGTTTGAAAGTCATTGGTTGGATCTTGGCTACCAGAGATGTCACAGCCTGTCTGGAGATAAGGAAATCTTCATCCAAGTGTCTTTAGCAGCAAAGATCAAGTGAAAACATATGCTTGACAATTGAATTTCTAGCAAAAGTGCCAACATGCTCAATTTGATTTTGAATTGGTGAATGTTTGTTATGAATAAAAGATGGAAATTTTGTGCTTTATAAGCACAAAACAGACCTTCATGCTAAACCCACATTTGATCCTAAAGAAGAACTTTAGAATTTCCAGCCAAAGGTCACTGGCATTACTTGGGGTTCAGCAACCCTTCAAATTTCTACCTCAATCTCACCCATCCTACAGAACCCAGATCGATGCCCCGATGACATTGTGCTTCAAACTCTTTCTAGAAGGACTTGCTAATGCTGCCAATTGCACTCATTTGCCTCACTTGGCAGAAATAAAGGCCAGTGTTTCATGTCTTACATGGTATGAGGAATCAACAGGTTGCTTTATGAGTGAGCTGATGGGACTGGACTCAACTGTACAAATCACCAAAGGAGAAGTCCCCTTTGCCCTGAGGTGGATTCCATGTCAGGTGAGGCACTAGGAGCTGCTGCCTTCTTATTCAGATCTTAGCTTTGAGGAGTCACAGCTATGCCTTAAGGATCTGTTTCATTTCATGGCTCCATTTCAGACCAAATCTAAGCCCACAGTCAGAACAAGGTGGAGGTAGGGGGGTAAGTAAGTAGCAGAGGTCAGGGACTGGGTAAGAATCTGCCAGGGAGGCCCTACCTGGTGGTGCAGAGGGTTAGAGCACAGCACCGCAAGCTAGCTGTAGCCGCTTCCATGCGAGTTCGATCCCTGGCCCTGGAGGTTACCACATGTCACGGCAGACCTCTCCTTACCCGCCCGCTGCTCCTCTCAGCAGTGTACTTAGATGATCTGCCTGTTCTGCTCTCTACTCTGCCTCTGGTGAATCCTCTCGCCATCCCTGCACCTTTGGCCTGTACCCCAGTTCTGTATGCATAAATAAATAAATCTTAAAAAAAAAAAAACAAATCTTCCAGAGAAGTGGGGAACTCACTTGGATAAGCAGTGGTGGGTGCAGTAGACATCACCTATGGGAGAGAGGGTGAAGTTCTCGCAGATGTAGAAGTGCTGCTTGCCAAAGAGCAGGACCCCTTCAGAGACCAGGTGGCCCTGCACAATCACCAGGGAGTACTTCTTCGTCACCTGGAGGAGAGAGCATAAGAGTCAGGCCATGTGCCTGGAAGCAAGCCCATCACTCTGGTGGCGGGCAGTGGTGGCCCAGCCACTGGGTCTGGGTGGCGCCGCTGCCGGTGGAAGGAGGCACCACTGCCAGCGGCTGCGCAGCTCTTCACAGGCAGGTGCGGTTGTGCAGCTGGACCCACCCCTGGCCCCCCAACCTGCCAACGCATGCACTTGAGTGTTCACTGCCTTTGGGAGTGCGTCCACATCCTTTCTCTCACTTTCAGTCTCTCCACGTCTACAGCGAATATGCTGCAGCCCACCGTGAGGGGATGTTTGGAGGTACAAGGCATCTCTGTGACAGAGCGGAAGGAGCTGTCAGCAGCCAGGACTAGAGTGGGGTCTGTCTAGAACCACGAGTGCCACACTGGCTCCGCTGTTGCTGGAAGACCAATGCTCGTCCCTGGGCGGGCAGAGGTGGAATGTGCTGCACCCAGATCCCTTCTCTCTCACTCGAGCTGCAACCCCACCCCCACCAAGGCCAAACTGTCACACCTTTTAGGAATTACCAAGGCTTTTGGAGCAACAGGCCCAAGGTCTTGCCACCTTCCCAGTGACAGTCTCATCCTACAACTAGTCTAGTCAACAGAGAGCAGGAAGGCCAGTCCCTCTGCTTTAATTGAGGTGAACCCTAAAGAATCACCCCAGACCTCGATCTCGTGGAATCAGCCAAGGCCTTTGTTGAGCAAAGGACTCGGGCTGCTTCTGAGTTCTGCTTCTCCCTCCACAGGTTCTGCCATCCTCACTCCCCATGTGCATCCCACATGCACATCTCTGGTCAGGAAGCCTGCTGGGCACACTGGGGGCAATGCTTGGTATGAACCAGAGTTCTACATGAAGTAAGGAAGAAATTCCTTGTGTGGAATAAATCCCCAGGGGAACAAGTAAGGGTATAAATGTAGTCTAGATGAGAGGAGCCCAAACAGATCAAGACCTAGACCGTTTCTCAGGGAAATTCTGTATTCATTCAATTGAACAAAAAGAAGAACAGATTGTATTTTTTTATTACCTACTATATGACCATTGTAAACCTTTTACACAATATAGTTCTTACAAATGAGTAATTAGGGTAGCATTTACTATCCTCCTTCTGAGGTAAAATAAAGAGGTTCTAGTGATAAGAAAGAGAAGATTCACCAGGGCTTTATTCCAAGGCAGGTATGGCCCACTGCGATTCAAGACATGTCATTACAGAACTACTTTTCCTAGGTGAGGGCCACTGAAGAGCCTTGGTTCCTACAGTGTATATATATATTTTTTGGTTGTTGTTAATGCTCCCTCCCCATCCTGAGCCTTCTATCCATTTACACTGGACATTTGGTAAATGTTACTGAAGACAGATTCAGAATGAGGAATGAATTAAAGCAATAAAATAAATGCCGAAAGCTTTGCAAAGGTGTACTGTGTCAAAATGGAATTTTCACTATTATGCCCTCAAGTTGGACCTGTGTTCTTTTACTTTTTTCCTGTTTTTTATTTAGAATTTCTTTTTCATCTTCCTTTTGGCATTACTGTATTTTCACTCCTTTCTTATTCATTTTCCCAGTGTTTCCTCCCAATAATTTTCTTTTAATTTTTGTTTGATCAAGGTAATGATGTAGACTCCTAAGTCAAGTACCAATAGCCTTTGATCTGTAGCATCTCTTTTCCGTTGCTGTTCTACAGTGTATAATTTTAAGGAGATTCTATGAATACATAAACGTGTTTCATGCGTGTTCTATTTTTTCACAACATTCATATACTTACTGTTCTACCTCTCGCTTTTCCCCTTAACAGTCCATCTTGGAGAGCTTTCCAAATCACTTTTTACAGAGTCACCTCACTCTTGTCACTTGCATGGATGCACTACAATTTACTGGACCAACCCCCCATTGAGTTGAGGTGTGTTCAAATGTTTTGACATTATGAGCAATGCTGTGGCGACCATCTTTGTGTATATGCTACTTAAATAGGGTAACTCTGAAGGTTCATTTCCTAGGAGTAGAACTGCAGGTCAAGGGTAGGAGCCTTTTTAATGCTGACAGCAATTGCCAGATCGCCCTCCTGCTAGGTGGCGCCAATTTCTCTCACAGGTACTGTTCAGAGGGGTATGCTTGGTGCTCACACTTTGCTCTTATACTGCTGCACAGAGCAGATCCATCCTCAAGTTCACATGGTAAGACACGGTCCGAGGCACTAGTCCTGGTCTACCTATGTACCTCTCCAACTTCACCCTTCCCGTCATGCCCCACACTGGCCCAGGCTCCATGTGCCAACAATAAGGACCAGAGCATATTCTTATGGTTCCCAGTGCTTCCCTTCAGGGAGAATTAAGTAACAACTAGAATGAACCAAACCACAAGAAAAATGTCTGGTGAGAGCTGGGTTAATAGCTTAAAAATTGATTCTGCTAGAAAAGAATGGCATTTTAAGAACTGGAAAATGAACCCAAGTGAACCATTACCTGCTCTTCCATTAAAATTAGCCCTGGGAGGGCTCCATCCCCTTATTCATGATTAAGAAATCCCTCATGCCATGACTGAATCGATTGCTTTAAAAAGAATGGAACCCCTGCTTCATAAGTAGAATTTTTTAAAGACCAGCTAGATGATATATTATTACTACTGATAGTGGATAACTAAGTATGTGACCACATGTGGCCTCATGTATGATGAGGAGCAGGTTGTCTGGAAATCCGAAAAAGTCAGAGCTGAGTTGAAAGGGCAGCAATGTGCTGAGACATTCCACAGAAACCCAGGCCAGCCTGTTTTGGATGAGTCTGGCCTCAGTGTTCACATCTGCAAAAGGGGAAGGTCAGCAGGACAACTGAAGTTCTTCCCAGCATTATTAGTCTGCAATCTAGGCAGCACCCTAACTTCAGAGGTGTAGAAACAGGGCTGACCTGTGAGACTCCCAGTAACAGAGCAGATGTGTCCATTCTCTCCTATTTGTGAGCAAAATGTGCTGCAAAGAAAACATTAGCTTGCTCACAAGTATCACACATCCGTTTTTCATGTTATGCATACATTCTGCTATATTGGCATGTGGAACAAATATTCTCAGGTTTCATTTAAAAAAAACACAGATTGCTGACAAAAGTTAGTAGGAAAAGGGATGAGATCATATCAATTATATTTATGTTCACTGCCTATGAACTCTGGCATCTACTTTTAGATTTACACACTTGGTTACATTTACATGGAGCATTTCATCAGCTGATAATCAAAGAAATGCATATTAAAGCAACAAAAGACACTATCTTTTATATATCCATTTGGCAAATATGAGAAGAGATACCATGTGTGGATATTGGCAGTTGGTCTTCAGGAAGAGACAAGGCGCAGGGATGCCCCCTGCCTGCCTGCGTGTGCCACTTCCACAGATAGCCCTGGCTGTTAAACAGTCCAGCCTTCCCTCCTTTCTCCAGCGGCTTGGAGGAAAGCAGGTGAAAATTATGCCCATGGAAGGTGAGATGCATTACAGATCTGAACACTGTTCTGTTCAAAACACAGTGCCTCGCATCAGCTGCATTTACTAAGGATCTGCTCACTGGTGATTGAAATTGGAGCACATTTCTAGCATGGACATCTCTGAATATTGTAAAACCTGTACCTGTAGATCTTGGGCATGGGTCTTGGCAAATGCATAAAAATTACCTAGACAGTTGGTTCATCTTCCCAGCCCCTGCATTCCTAGAGGTTCCGAATCAGCAGGTGCAAAGTGAAAAACCTGGACCCTGGATTTTACTAAGCAGCCCAGATGACTCTGACATTGGTCATCTGGGACCATACTTTGAGAAACTGACTCAGAGACACCAGGCTATGAAAGATGATGTTCAGCCCATGTAAGCACATGGCTCATCAGTTATTTGTTCGCTTATTCATCTAACAGGTATGTTTTCAAAGTTTAGCATGTGCCCAGGCACTAGGGACACAGGGAGACAAAGCACAACTTCATGGTGCTCATGGTCCAAGAGAAGAGAAAATGAGAACAGCAACTTTGCAGTCACAGTGTGGTGGGGATATGGGGGTGTACAGGGACTCTGAGGCTACAACTGTGGGAGTCTGGCCCAGAAGGTGTGAGAGGGGGTAGAGGTGACTTCAAAGGAGAGGCTACCAAGGAAGTGACCTCAAAGCTGGGATTAGGGGTTAAAAAGAAAAAGACAAGGAGGACATAGTCCTGAACCAGCTGGACATGTTTGGAAACTATAAATAATTCCATCTAATTGGGGTCAAGAGTCAAGTGTGTGTGTGTGTGTGTGTGTGTGTGTGTGTGTGTGAGAGAGAGAGAGAGAGAGAGTGTGCGCTCACACAAACCAAGTTCAGGAAGCCACAGCGTGAACCCGGAAGTGGCCTTGTACACAAAAAGTGCCCCAGAGAGTCTCAGAAGGGATTAAGTGGGGATGACACACGAGTCCTGCACTTTAAAGTCAGTCATGGTGATACATTCAGATAGGAAGTAATGCATGAAAAGGTTAACTCAATTCTTCACCTTCTACAAAGGGCCTCAGCTAAAAATACCTGGGAAGAGTTTGATGCTGCTCTCTGTTGTCCAGAGCAAAAATAGTTCTCTTTGGGCTGAGTGCTTTCCTCCAAGGTCAAACTAATATTTCTACTGAGTTTGTACTAAAATAAATTAATGTTTAGTTTTTCCTATGATTAGAGAGAACAGTGACAGCACAAATGACTCTCACTGGATGCCTAACTCTGGCATGGGTCTGAAGCCCATTTTGTCCAATGGGGCTTCCTTTCTTAGAGTAGTTACAAGGAGGGGGTGCCAGGGGCCATCCTCAACCACACACAATGGCTGACAAGGACCCACAATTAACATGCATTAAATAAAGCACACCTCATATCAACCAGAGCTGTTTGCAGAGAAGCATGTTTGTGGTTCTGGGGAATCATTAATCAATGACGCAAAGGTGGCACAGAATAATTACTGTCCTAGGTATTGCTGGAGGCGAGTGGAGCTCAATGTTCACATAAAAATTAATGAGTTAAGCTTCTGCCATCCTTGCGGCCTGTTTTCCCTAGAGGCCTCTGGTGGAGACGGGCCACCCAGAAGTCTGGACAGAGTCTCCTGGGCAGTGTCTACCAACATGTAAAAAAGCAAGTGCTTCTGAGGTGGGTGGGGGGATGGTGGGTGGGGTGGGAGCTGCCAAAGAGCTGCCTGCCTAGCTTGCATGGCAAGGGCTGTGGGTTTCCTGAGTATGGACATCCATTTGCTATGCACCCCCTTCCCCTTGTGGGTACATTTTCAATTAGAAATGCAGAAAAAGCACAAGGACCAAAAGATTTTATGGAGATATCTAACTTAGAAGAATTCCCAGTTTACAATGAATTCTTGCTATAAAACGTCTACATATATAGAAAATACAAACCAAAAAAAAATAAAATGCAGAGGAAAGCCCCCCACTACCTGCCTCCCACCACCTCAACATGGCAGCACACATTTGCTATGGGAAGACTGCCTGCATCTTTGCTTGAGTTTGTTCATGGTCCGAGGATCAGAGAAACAATCGTTCCTTCCTCAACTTCCAATTTCTACTCTTGGAAATAAGTACGTGGAGCAGGAGTGAAGCCGGAACCAGGCATAAGGCATATCCAGAGACAGGATGGCACATGTTTGGTCTGTGTGAGATACTGTGTGATGAAGGGGTCTGGAGTCTACTTTCCTGGGCCAGGTACCAAGAAGTGCTATGAGGCCTGGAACTAACACCTCCAAGCCCCAGTTTGGGGTGGCTGCTGCAGGAAAATGTGGAGGAAAGCATTTGTAACTTGCTCAACACAGCGAGTTGAGAGATAGTAAAGAAAATAAGCAGACTTGAGACCTCGGAGGAAGCTGCCAGCATTCAGTTTCAGCATTGAGTCTCTACACAGTGAATGGGCTGAGCCAGGTTGTACCCAGACTTCTTAGATAACAAATGTGCTTTGTTTTAAGTCACTGTATCTGTGACCATTGATTATGGCAGCAATGGAAAATTAACATACCTAATAGAACCAAAGTACTGCATGGCTTTCTTCTAAAGACAATTTCTTCTGAAAGGAAGCAACATGAGAACACTGTATAATTCAGTGCACTATCAAGAGAGTAGGAAAGAATGTCTGGGCCTGATATGTGTTTGCATGTGTTCTTCACTTCAAGGTTTACCCTGGCCACTGCAGACATTGTGACCCGAGTGGTTATTTTCTGGTGGAGGGTAGGATTACCCTGAGCATCAGCAGGTGGTTAGCAGCAGCCCTGGCCTCTGCTAGAAGCAGATTTAGAAGCACCCTCCCTCCACAGATCACTGGCTCAGGCATTGGCAAATGCCTTTTGAGGGTAAAGTTGCTCCTGTTGAGAATCACTGTGTTATATAATCCTTTAAATGCCTAAGGCAGAAAAGTTTTTACAGAAAGTATTGATCTCTTAGCTGCTTTCTTTTAATTGACTGGGCATTTACTAAATATCCATTTACCGAAGTGAGTATATTAATATGATACATCCAAACTATTATCAACTGTTGATCCTCAGCAACCAGATATTATGAATACATATACGCTATGTATGTGTATATGTTTTGTGTTTGAATTTCACAGAAATTTCAATTTTAAAAATTTAAAGTAAACATATATTACTCCATAAATAAGTAAAATAAGCGGGTATTTAGCCAATGAGAATTCATTAGCATTTACTGAATGGCTGAGCTTAGGCACCTGGGGATCCTTCCATCAGTGACATCCCACTCCACGGATTCACTGCTACCTGTTCAGCCTGCGTCCTGGGCCCTCTTCATTTCCATGCCCACCCTTCTGGGGGCTGATAGTGGCACAAATGTGCTTACACATAGGTCTGAGTAGTGGCCAAGGGGAGGCTCGTAGCAAGCGAAGGGAGGAGAATGGGCACCACTTGGATGTGAGTGAGGATGTCCAAACCCGCCCACACAGCAATGCTCATGGTGTACGATGGACCCTGGGGAGGTCAAGCTGCAGGCAAGGTATTGAACTACAAGACAGTTGAGGATTCTAAATTTGAAACTGACCCCCCAGACACTACAAAGTTTAGTATAAGAAATTAGAGCATAATTAATTTAACAATTTATTAGCTTGATTTATGTTTTTAAAATATTTCAATGCAGGTTGTGTGGGTTTCCATTCCATTTGACCTTTGTCCTAGACCCATGTTAGAGAATATGCCTGTGTTTTTTGTTCATGATTTTTTCAGAGTGATACTTTACAGCTCCCCTGTGAGTAAAAAAAGCTATGTTCTCTTATGTCTGACAATCTTTAAAGAATAGCACCGTTGGACTTCATTACCTTTTCGTGATCAAGAAGTTCTTGTAAAATTACTTGTCTTTCCCGACACAGTTCCAAGAAATCTTCAGAATGCAGACTTTCATGTAAAGCAGGGAAGAAGGTCAGCTGGGTACAGTCCACACCCACTTCGTCAACATTGCTCTCAGCTTCCTTTGGTGTCAGTTCATCTGCAGTGGCACAAAGGCACACACGGTTTTGATGGGAGCCACATTGCATCAAAAGGAATGGTGCCCAGCCTAGGCTGAATCCATGAAAGGTTCTGCAAAGTTTCAGGGTGTGAGTGGTGCAACCCTTGCTGATTCTCAGTGTGGGTGCCAATTCTCTCACCTGTGATGTGATCAACACATCGCAAAAAGTGAGCCTAGCTATGCTGCAGCTGTCCAGAAAGGACAGGCCAATCCTTCAAAATTTATCCTCATTAATCAGTAAAGGCATTCCCTGGAGGGTAATGTAGGATTGGCTTTTCCTGAACTTCACTTTCTTTACTCTTTAAAAAAGTGCTTTTTCCCTAAGTATGAAAACACTATCTTCTTATTATAAATAACTTGGAAAACTCATGAAATGGTGAGAAGTCAAATGATCATTTATCACTCTTGCTTTCAGAGATAGTGCTAGTAACAATAGGCCCCAGTTAGTAAGCAATTTCTATGCTGGATACTTTCTATGATACTTTCTCCTCTAGTCTTCAGAGGAAGACTATGACCAAGCCTCTCTGAGACCAGAGACTGCTATTTTTAATCTCTGATCTGTCCTCACTGTTCAGCTTGTTTGTTTACTGCTGATATCTTTGTAGGATGTATATGCACACATACAAACACACATACAGTGTATGACATGATAATAACTATACTGCACTGATTGTTTTTCTTTTCTAATATTTTTTAAATTTAAGATTATCACCTGAGTACACTCCCACCCATTAGAAATTCTAAACAACTGAAATGACTGCATAATATTCTACCATGTGGCTCTTTCAAGACACCTACCTTCTATTTTTTGGAGGCCCAGATGATTTCTATTTCTGTACCACCACGAATACACTGTACTGCCATCATCTATATGTGTGTCCAGACTTATCTTTCCTAAGATGAGCTCCTGGGCATAAACATTTAGCTGCCAGCTAAGCACTGCTGTGGGAGGGAGAGCAGGCAGACTACTGATCTGGAGTTAGAGCTGTGGGGTTCAGAATAAAGAGAAGCCAATTGGTAGTTCAATGTCATCCCAGAGTCCTGTCTCATAAGGGACTTCAAATCAACCTGGACCCAGGGCCCAGGATCCTTCCTCATGGGCTTTGTTACTGCAGACTAGCAAGCTAGTAAGCTCAGACAATGTAAGGTACAATGTAGGGTATGTGACAAGCTTGTCATCTGGCAGAGCTGCTGCCTAGAATACACTGAAACTAACAAGTGGGAAGGGTTAGAAGCCAAAGGCAGAGACTTGGTAGAAATGCACAAAATCTGAAATACAGTGTGCCTGTCTAGTTTCTATGTAAGTCTATGTGTTGTTTATATTTGTTCATGCCAAAATGACCTCAGAAAATGAACCCTGGCCTATCGACAAATTCCCGTGAGAATTACAAAAATAAAGAGTAAGCATAAACATTAAAAATGATTCAAAGTACTTTTTTTAGTTTGCTAAATAATTATATCTATTTGTCTATTTCTTAATCAGAGAGGTAGGAGTAAAAAGGATTAAATATTGAGGAGTGCATAAATCTTATCATTTTCATTTTTCTGGGGTAAATACATAGCAGTAGTATTACTGTATCATATGGCGTTTTCATTTTTATTTTTTAAGGTCTCTCCATATTATTTTTCATCTAGGTTGTATTCCATACAAATTACACTCCCACCAACACCAGGTGACAATTCACACTCTCACCAATATTTCTTTTTCCCATTCTTTTTGATTTATGTCATTCTCCCAATGGTGAGGTGATATCTTATGATTTTAGTTTGCATTTGCTTATAATCGGTGATGTTGAACATTTTTTCATGTGCCTGTAGGCCATATGAACGTTTTCTTTAAAGAGGTGTTTATTAGGTCTTTTGCCTAATTTTTATTGAGTTGTTTTACTGTTAACAGGTTTTGTCAAATATGTGGAACCAAACTAAGCACCTCTCAACAGATGACTGATAAATAAATCATGGAATATATACTCAATGGAATATGACTCAACTATTTAAAAAAGATGAAAAAGTTCATTTTGGAAGGGTGGGAAGAGAGAGATCTTTAAGTGCTGATGTTAAGTGAAATAAGTCAGAAAGTGAAAGACATTGGATGGTTTCAATTATTTGTAATCTATAAGTAGCCAAACAGTGGCAAAGCCAAGAAAAAATAGTTCTGAAGCTCAGTGAAAAATATACTGGTTACCAGAGGGGAATGAAGTCTGGGAGAATGGACACAGGAAGGAAGGTGTAAGGCATTTGCAAGGAATTTTGGTGGAGTGTGAGTAATATGTGCACATTTGACATTAAATATGTGAAAATTACATATATTACATATTTTATATATATATATAAATTTATATATAATTGTCTATAGATATATAACTTTCATGTATCACTACACAAACAACTGAAAAAATGATAAATATTGAAGGGGAAAAGTCTTATTTTTCCATCCATAACTCTCTTATTTTCCCCTACCCATTTCACTTCACTTACTAAGCATGTATTTATATTATTTAGGGACACTTTTAAGTTTTCCCTGATTTGGTAAAATGACAAGAGAGTTTCTCTGAAGAAAAGAATCTTACTATTACAATCTGAATACAAAAATTCCTCCTCTAATGGAGTGTTTAGATCTGGAATAAGTTTTCCCTTCATTCTAGGGAACATAAATGAAAAGAATACTTAGAATATAATGAATTCTCATTGGCTAAATCTGAATACTGCCTACACCAGACTTGCAAAAAGAAGGAAATATCAATTTCATATCTTTATTGGATAAAACAAATATTTGGTTTAATTTATTAAATAAAAATATGTTGAAAGAAAACTAAATACCTTGATTTTCAGCCTTTGTCTGAGAAATATCACTATTTAGGTCTTGGCTTTCCTGAAATAAAGTTAGAAAAAAATTAAATCCTGGAGACTGCCCCCCCTCATACTACAAATTCACAAACACACACACATGCATGTGAACCTTTCAAATGACTCCCACACTGAAGACTCAGATACAAGGGGAGTCTAAATCCTAAAGGACCACAATAAAATGCAAGTATTAATGTTCCTGAGTCAAAGGGGAAAAAAACCCACAATCTTCCATTAAGTAGGACTTACAGTAATTATCAAAGATGATGCCAAAGTGGGATTAGACAGCATCCTGGATGTCGGTCGTAGAGACCACCCAGGAAAGGGAGGCAGGGGAGGGACTGGGGCTGCACAGCCCAGGAGGCCAGAGACCAGGCCTCGCAGCCAGCCTCTGGCTCTGTCACCAGCACTGAGGCAGCCTATTCCTCCTGCCTCCATTTTTGGAGAAGCCTATTGAGGGAAAAATAACATAGACTGCCAGATGTTTCCTGAGTGTGCATTCAAAACTCAAGTGTCTACTGAATAAATGAAATCTAATTTTTTATTAGGTGTTACAAAGAATTTAGCATGGATAAAAGATTCTAGATTTTCAGACTAGGGAACAAACCCAACATGGAACTCGGGTTACATGCAGAAGGAAATGTGTAGCATCACATTGTTTATCCTTTTAGAGTATCTTAAATGAGGGTAGTCTGATGAGGACACAGAAAACCATTAACATATTTTCCATATTCAGTGCCAAGTGAGTCCAACATTCTCTATCCTTCAAAAGGCAAAAAAACATAAGCTTGATAACACATAGGCCAATATTGGGGGAGGGGCCCACATTCTGTTGCTTCAGTGTTGTACTAAGTGGGTCACTGGCATGAGCTGGCAGAAATAGTTGAATTCAAAATATTTCAATTGTAAAACTTGTTGCTTATACAATAATATAACAGTGCTGGCTATGACTGCTGGTGACAATTTGCTAAGCAGACAACAACCATCACATAGCTTTTTCCAAACACTGGTGTCCACACTATGCCACTGGACTTCTGTGGATGTCAGTGTAGTACTGGCAACATCAGTGCCCACACCAGAGATTGAACCTCTCACCTGTTCATGTAGGCTATAGTTAAACACCCTTTCTATGTACCTGACTGAGCTCGTGATTATTTCTGTTGAGTGATAACAAGAACAAACCACAACACTCCTCTGTATTTAACTGCATATTCTCTCTCCTAATTGTCCACACCAAAGCATTCTCAAAGAGTAACAGGAAGAGTCCTGATGAAAACAGCACTTGACAGGAAAGCTGAAGAGACCCTTCCCTAGCGTCTGCCAAGAAATACCGTTCCTTCTCCCAACTCTTACCTTGAACCTTCTTGGATTCGAGGTCTCCAGGGGAGACAAGCACCTGATGCGTTTCTTCATACGAGCAGGTCCTTCTCTCCAGTCCAGTTCCCACTGGGAGCAGGGTGGGGCTTCTGTCTTCTGACCCCACAGGCCCAGCTCCCCAAAAAGCTGCTCCTGAATATGGGCCCACGCATTGGCTGCCTTGATGTTGCCACATCTCTGCCTCTGGAGAGTGAAAGTGCAATGTCTCCCCTGAACACATGCCTTCAGGGGCCTGAACAAACATCCTGGGGGACACAGGCCCCCATAAATGTTAGAGGAGAATAATTCATTTAGTCAGTCTTGACCATTCTCAGGGTGTATCCATACTCTCTGGAACCAGGGCCAGGCTAGGAGAAGAAACCTCTTTCTCAACCTGAGACCATTTAATCCATTTGGAGAAAGAAAAAACCACTGTCTGTGGCCTTCAGAGTTGTGTACTGGACAGAGAGCTGCAGGTCCTACAAACCCTGACACTAATCATCTGAGTGGCCTAGACAGCAATTCTATAGAATAGATGCAGAATTCCTCCATAGCCTCCAAAATGGACAGGGAATTTTACTACAGCCCCTATGTTGCAAAAATGATTATACAGGTGTCCTTCCAGCCCTCTGGACTAGGGGTACACTGGGAATTAGCAGACCTGCCGGCAGCTGGGAGCCTGTCACTTGCCTCTGAACCTCATATTCTCCAAGTGTCAAACAAGAACTTTGGTTTTGATGACTTTTCTAATCCAAAAGGCTTTTATAGTCCTAATATTGTATGATTCCTGAATGTTCAAGAATTCTGCAATGTTCACCGAAGCTAAAATTTTTTATTTTAATGAAAATAACCCCATCTGATGCCAAAAATCCTTAGCCTGCTTATGCAGTACCTGTTACATCTTCCGCTAGAGTGAAACTTAACCGTTTTATGAAATACACTGACACCCCTAAACTGCTTTTGTATCTTGCTTTCTCTACCCAGCAGCACCAGAAGAAAGCAATTTCTATTAACCTCAGTAAAAAACAACAACAAACAAGTTGGGGAGAGGAGAAGTGACTTTTCCAAGGATCACAGGGGCCTGAGCTGAGGTTAAAAATCAGCCCGGTTGATCCAAAGACTTTGTTCAAGTCTGCTTTTCTGGGGCGTTCTAGTATTAACTCAATATATTTTCTGGCATTCCCTCAAAAACTAGCAGCATTAGATATAGGTCCTGCAAACATGGGCTATTTTGGGGTAGGTAAGTGTTGTTCTCAGAACTTGAAAATCATGACAAATGACACAGTACTCAGTATGTAGATTCCGGCATCAGAGGAACCCAGGTTATCATCACACTTCTGGTCTTCACTAGCACTTTAATCTAAAGGGACTTCCATTTCCTCATCAGTCAAATTTGACTAATAATATTATCATAATAATAAAACGATGGGTTTATGTAAGGCTTTAATGAGATGATATTTTCAAGAGTTTTATTAGGTGCCTTATTTTGTTTCTCCACATCCTCAAATTCATATCCAAATCAGTTTCAACACTTTACACAGTATTCCAATAATAAGGAACTCTAGAAAAATAATGGCTGTCCATAGTCTTTTACAGGGATTTGGTTATATGAATGAACACTTGCTTGGGGAAAATATTTCAGCTCTCTGATGGATGACTGCCCTTGTGTTTGTAGTAACTTACTGAGCTTCGGTGAGGATAAGCAATCCCAAACTTCAAATTACTTTTTAAGAACTTTCCTTCCACCCAAGACTCCTCCTATAGAACCTGAAGGTGCAGCTGCCTGAGTCTTGATCACAGGGCAAGTGCACTGTGTCGAATATCCACAGCCAGAGAGATGCACCAGCTGCATGATTGTTTAGTCCATGGACAGAGGACTTAAGATCATGAAAAAAGCACAAGTCCTGATTTCCTACACCTACAAGTTGCTCTGGGATGCCCATGGCTCTGCTCAAGGTGAGGTCCTTTTTCAGCTCAGAGCCGGGGAATCAGAGACAAAGGTTCCGGTGTGCTAGCTGTAACTGTATTTTTGGTTGAAGAGAAACTCTTAGGTAGCATCACTGAGATTTTCCTCTGAACAACCAACCCTTCCCTATTTTCAGTCCCTCTGCTTGGACGGAACTGACTCTCAGTCCTGGTTGCAAGGTCAAACATGTCACCCAAGACTGACTAATTCTAATGTGGGTAGGAGGATGGACTAGTGAGCCTTATGCTCCAGGACTGAGAATGCTTCTCCCTGGATCCCATGCATAAGAGACAATGCAGAAGAGTGCTGTCCCAGTATTCAGGGCTGCCTGTCCTTGCTTCAGGCATCTTGAGCTGAATCAGGAGAAGTGCCCTACGCAGACATATGCTCCACCCATGCCATTTTGATGGGAGATGGTGCCTTGGTGCAAGTGAGAAAATGGTTCCTTGCTTGGTTCCAGGATTAACAACTTGGGGAATAGTTTGGGAAAGTGAATGAGTTCACTTCCGATTTGCATACCCTTTTATGCACGTGTCCTGGTGCCTCAAAGCAGGTTAAACAAACACACGTTTGTTTTTATGTGAGTGAGTGAGTGAGTGTACTTGTGTGTGTAAGAGAAAGAGTGTGAGAGAGCACAGATTCCTTAGAGGAATAACTGGATCCAGCTCTTCCTGAAAACTCATCTTTCCCTGGAATTTTAGTATACAAAACATTTCCTTTATTGCTAGTCAGTTCGATTTGTACTTTTGACACTTGTTTCTGAAAGAACTGACAGGAAAACTTCATGGAGAGAGACTGAAAAAAAATGGGCCCCAAAAAGCCCATGAGGCTGTGACGAAGACTGTCTCTCACACACTAAAAGAAAAGCCATTTCTGGGGAAGCAGGCATCTTGCTAAAGAGCTTGAGCCAGCAAAGACTGTATGTTTTACAAACAGTGTGGCAGACGGAGTCAGTTATGTAAACGATGAAGAGGAAAATGCAGGAAGGATGGTCTGGGAATGTAACAGAACAAAACCAGAGCACAGGACCACAAAAAAAAAAAAAAAAAAATATAACCTGGAAAAGGTAAAGGGTAACCTGGGTGGGACTAGTGTAGAGGGAACTGTTGTCACCAGTGCTTCTAAAGTGATGAGACATTCCAGGAATCGATTATCAGAACGGCACGATCTGCTGGTGATGGGAGGTGATGATGTCGGGTTAATTTCTGGGGAGCTGAGAATGTTTGTCATGTCTAGGCTCCTGCCACCTCCAGTGATCTTTTGGTTCTGGAGAAAAGCTGCACCAATAAGTCTCCTAAGACTTGCCCCTGGATCTCTCCATGCCAGCCCTCTTAGAACCTCTTGGGAGTCCTGCTGGGATTAGCTGTCCTCAAAGAACTTGGCAGATTTCACAAGCTTAATTTCTGTCCAGAACTCACACTTGATTTTTTTGGGAGTTGAGTGGGGTCTGTGCTGGGATGGCGTGCTGGTCTTTAAAAAACTGGAGCACATGAGCCAGGCCTCATTCTGTCCAGCAGACAGTGATTGCATCTGCATTCTTTTAGCCATCAAAACAAACTGTCTTAAATATTTAAAAACTTGGAAGGTATTCTGATGGTCTAGCCTCCACATGCTGATTTTTCCCCAAAAATATCTCAATCACAGAAAAAATGTGCAACTTTTCTCAAGGGTTTTTCAGAACTCAACGAGCGGCTTAGGTTTTAAAAGGCTGAACTCTTTCCTTTTGAGCTTAGAGTCTCACCAAGTCCTTCCTGCATGGACTATCAATTTCACACATTTCAGCAAAAACTCACAAAGCTCATCTCTCCTAGCCATAATGAAATCTCCCAAGCTCTCCCAACCATATAAAGAGAAACAGTCATACTCTTCACTAGATACTGATCAAAAAATTAGATAAACACATCTTCTGACTTGAATGGAACATGTGTGATGAGACATCCACAAATAAAGGATGCAATCTTAAACAACTCATTTTACCACCTCCCAAAGGCAATTGCATTTATTAGTCATATTGCCAGACCTGCATGAAGTCAGTGAATACAAGTATGTGCAAGAGCTGGTCCAGTGGCACAGATAATACCCAAATAAGCCAGCAAGGCATCTGTCCAGCTGCGCGGTGCAATGTTGGCGGAGCAGAGACCCACAGCGGAGCCCTTCTCCAAACTTAAAAGGGCTTGTGCGTGTGCAGTTGGGGAAGCCAGTCCTATCCGCTGATAACGTCCCCAATAGCAAAGAACACAACCAGTTGATCCTGAAATCTCTGCTCCTGAACCCTCGTGGTTATTCTCTACTGGGTCCCTTTACTGAGTTTACGAACCTTCAAGGCTGAGTATCACCATTGTTAACTCTGCCTCCCTATACCTGGTGCAAATTTTGGGACAGAAAAGTTGTAAAGTAATTATGATTGAGGTTATAATACTATACATTATGTTCTGATACTTAATTTTTACATTGTGTTCTGTTATTAAGAATCGTTTTTAAAATGTTAAGGACAATAATGCCAACTAAAGCTCAAAGTCCTAGCTATTCAATGGGCACACATGGGATGTCTATTGCCTCACTGCCACTAACTAGACTTTAAAAAAAAATTATTTATGGTATAGAACTGGGGAGCAAGCCAGAGGTGTGATAGGTGAGAGGATTCACCAGAGATAGAGTGGGAAGCAGAACAGGCAGATCTACTGAAATACACTGCTGAGGGGAGTAGCAGGTGGGTCTGGAGAGGTCTGCCACGCCATGTGGGTCAGCTCCCTGGCTGGGGATCGAACTCATGCTGTATTGGCTTCACAGAGCTTCATAATGTGGTGCTTTAAACCCGTTGCACCACCAGGGAGAGCCCGGACTAAATGTTTTTTACATGCTTGTTAATCTTTGTAGCTGGGTAGTATTATTTCAGCTTTACTTCTTACCTGTACGTGATCTTTGTATAAAGATGCATATAGTTCCTGTCCTCTCCTTCTGTTGTTTTCAATACATGACACAAAATCCTGGAGGAGAGAGAAAACATGTCACAGTTCCATGACAGTTGTGATTTTAGATATGAACTTCTCTACCCTGAACAACTGTCAGAGGAAATAATGGTTATAAGATTTGTTGGTGAAATCAATCTCAATCTCATGAATAAAGACTTTATGTATGCTAATACACTCCCATAAACACTCAAATGTTTAGGTTACTCTCACTTCCAGCTATGATGAGTTAGATGAATACAAGATATATCTTCCTCCCAAGAATAACAAGAAAGCTAGGTTTAGATAATCTGCCTTACACAGCAGAGTGCTACTGAGGATGAACCAATGATATATGCAATAAGCTGGATGAATCTGCACAGAATTACACTAAGTGATAAAATATAATCATAAAATGTCACATACTGTGATTCCACTCAATATTTTGAAATAACAGAATTATAGAAATAGTAAAAAAGATTAGTGGCTGTGAGAGGTTAAGTTGCAGGGATAGGAAGGGACATGAAACAACATGAGGGTTCCTGTAGTGAACTAATTGTGAAGTATAGTTTTGCAAGATACCATGGGGAAAGCGGTACATGAACTCTCTCTTATTATTTCTTAAAACTGCATGTAACCCTACAATTCTAAAAATAAATTGTTTCACTTTCAAAAAGTCTTTGAGGGTTTTGTATTTACTATTCAAATATTCATAACTAGAATATACAAACTACTATCCATCATAAGAAAAAAACAGAAAATCATCAACATTTTTAAAAAGAAAAAAACTAAGTAGTTCATTAAAAAGGATGCCTAAATATACATATGAAAAAGTGGTCAACTTCATGTATTATCTTGAGAATACAAATTAAAATATATAAAACTATGCAGCTATTAAAAATTTAAATCTTGCCATTCATAACAACATGAATGGAGCTGTCAGAGATTATACTAAACAAAGTCAGAAGAAGCACAAATGCAAGATGGTTTCACTTATATGTGGAATTTTAAAAATATACATCTTTAGTGGGCAAGTAATATCATGCTTTGATTATTAAAGAAACTAGAATTCTCTTACATTGCTAATTAATACAACCATTTTGTAATATTCTTTGGTAAAATCTTAAAAGGTGAATTAAATATATGCATACCCAGTCATCAGCAATTTTATTCATAAATATATACCAAACTAAATATTCCCAAGTATATCTGTGTTCCAAAAGGTAATTGAAAGAATGTTTAGAACAGTAGAGCTTAAAATAGTTCCAAACTAGGAACAATGCAATGTCTATTTTCCAGTAATAGACTGGTAAGTAAATTGTATAGTCTGGACAATATATTCAATAGTCTATAGTGATGATTCTTAAATGATGGTCCATGACACCCACAAGTTCCTGAGAACAGGAACTCAAACCCATATAAAATACTAGGACATCTTCCTTTCTTTTCACTATGCTGACATTTGCACTAATCACTCACAAGCAATGATGAGTAAAATTAGTGTAAAAGCCCAAACCAAGTCAGTGGCGCAAACTGCACAGTAGTCATCGTACGTGTGCTCACCACCAGGGGTTCAAACAGGATTAAAACAACACCTTTTTGCTTAAGGATGTCATTGGTGAAACAATACAAATAATTAATTTTCTAAGTCTGACTTTAAGTACAGTCTTTATAAGATGGGAAGTGAGCATAAAGCACTATAGAATGCCAAAACCCACATTTCAGGGAAAAGCACTCAAATAAATGTGAGAGTTGTTTGCTATACAAGTTGCTTTCTGTGATAGAAAATCATTTCTTATGAGAAATAACTGATAAAGTTACTGTTATTAAGATAAGTATTTATCAGATAGTTTCTTGAAAATGAACAAAATGAATCTGCCATCTCCAATAAAACAGATGGTGGTATTTGTTGCTAGAGATAAAATTTGAGCTTTCAGGCAAATACCAGAATGTTGGAAAACATATGTATCTCCCTCCATGAACCTGACTGTTTCTCAGCAGATGAAGATTTTTTTGATAAGACTGGAGGTGATATAAACATGTTTTTTCCATATTAGATTATCAAACATGACAACATTTAGGAGATCCCTAATGCAGGGAACAAATGTTCTCAATGCATGCTACATGCATGTTCCAAAATCATGTAAGCCTTAAAATGTTCAAAGTACGAGACAGGAGCCCAGAGAGCTGAAGTGGAGGACGGAAGTGGGCTGGTGATGGGCACGCTGTGATGACATTCACTGAAGGATGTGAACCTATACCTTTAAATCACATATGGTCTGTAAGCCAGTGCTGTCTCAATTAAAAAAAAAAAAAAAAGTGCAAGCTAAAGCAATACTTTTTCATGTAACAGAGTTCAAAAACCCCACTGATTAAGATTCTAAGTAATTTGCAAGGAATTACTATTTGTTGAGTTTTGGTGTAGAATATAATTTTTTGAAAAGGATTTTAAACTACTCCTCAATCACAAATCTGTGAGAGGGAAGAAAAAACAATAAAGTCATCACAGTTTAAATAAAAAAACAGGTGTGAGAATCCAGTTGTTTCCTACTAAGCCAGGTATATATTAAAGCAATTTGTAAAACATAAAAGAGGAATCCTCTTTTCACATTTTTTGAAAAGTATAACTCATTCATTATAAAATGCAATTTATGTTACACATAATGATTTCAAAGAACCATTTTTTAAATTCTGGTTAATTTATGGTAAGGTAAATATCAATAGGTATAATAATATACATTTAAAAAAAAAAAAACTCTTTGGAATTCTAAAGAGGGAAAAGGAGTCCTGAGACCAAAAGGTTTGAAAACTGTTGTCTTATTTCTATGAAAATAAATTTTTCATGCAATGAAAAATTTCACAAATATAGTTTGGAGTAAAAAAAAAGGCAGAAATAAGATTATTGCTATGTTTGTATATTTATATAAAAGTAAAAATGTGGAAAACAAATTTATGATAATAATGGGCAGAAAAGTAGCTGGTTTACAGAGACATTTTGCGGGGGTGGAGTGGGGAATGGGATCAAAAACGGGGGGGTGGGGAGGGAAGTGCACGGGATTATGGTGATGGCACACGGGTGACTTGGTGATGGGAAACCCACAGGGATTACAATTGAGATGGAAAAAAAATGTACAAAATGATGTAAAAATAAACTGTTATTAAAAAAAAATGTAGCTGGTTTACCAGCAACTGGAAAGGGACATGGAGTGGGGGTCCTTCTGGGTTGTCACTGATGTTTTGTTTTTCAATCTGGGTGGTGGTCACACGTTCAGTCAAAATTCTTGAATCTGTAATTTGAACACTTAGTTCTTTGTTAAACTCAATAAAATACAAAGTGAATTATCAACAAACATGAAAACAATGTAATTTTAAAACACTAGTTACTCTCTTGGAGAAAAGGGAATAACATGATTTCTTTCTTTTTCATTTCTTTCCCCTTTCTTTGTTTATAAAATTTTCCTTAATATTGTGGTTGCATATTTATACAATTCTATAAGTAAAGCAATCAGGATAAGCATCACAAGTGACATAAAATGCTGACAAATTTGACTAATTTTACATCTAAGGCAAAAGCCCAGGCTTCTTTATAATATGGTGCTTTGGAGACATGTAGCAGAAGAGAACTCTTGGGGAGTCCATGAACACAACACAGCTCTTGTCAAATAGCAAATAGCTCTTGTATGGGTGGACCCAGGGGATTAAATATGACCAGGGAGATTCAGGCTGGCAGACTTCAGCAAGCTCTATGAAAGGATTTTCAGTAGAGAGGGGAAGGCTGCCAAGCAGAGACAGGTCACTGACAAAGGTTTAGAGAAAAGAGAAGGGGTAAGATAAGCAGCCCATGTGGAAACTCAACCCGGGCAAGGAAAGAGGTTCCTCGTGGTCAGCAGCTGGAGGGAAGGACTTGAGGATGGAGCAGATGTCTAAGAATTTGAAATCGGGACACTGGAGAGTGAAGTGGATCACGCCTGATGATGGTTTTCAGGGTAGCAGAGGATGCAGTCTAGTCCTTTGAGGGCTGAGTAGAGTCTGCAACTGAATGCTGGAGGTTTGGAATTGTGCATTGGGAGGATGGGGAGGGGACTGATCCAGGGCACATTATCAGGGTATTGATAATCCAAATATTTGTTATTCCTTGAGCTGTTCTTTCAACGTTGCATTTAACTTACTGATGTGCGCACAGCACTTTACAAATAGCCAAGGGGTTTCCCTATGCAATATCACATTGGAGCCTTAACTTCTTGACATATCTATATTATGATTATTCCCATTTTATAGAGGAGTTAGTTAAGTGAGGACAAGTGGGAAGCAGTGACTTCATCAATACAGGAAATGCACTGAAAGATGAGTCCTTGAATTCTGCTGCTACGTGCATATCATCTCTTCCACCCTATTCATTTCCACAGCGCTAAGCAAACGTTACTTTCCCTTTGGCTTTTGAGAGTTTTCATGACCTGGAAAGTTGTCTCACCCGGGAATGGAAACAGGAAGAAGGTGATTTGGTTCATTCAAGGGCGAATGCCCATCTGCCTGGACAGCAGTGAATGTGGCACACTGGTCAGGGACGAATTCAGAGCAGAGCTCTGCATCACTTATTGGAGCTAAATAGCCTTTGCTTAGCAACTGTGCATTAAAGAGTTTGAGAACCTATGAAGTAGAACAAAGGACACCCAAAGGCTGTTTGGAGATTTGAGGGAAAGCAGATCTGGTTTAAAGAGCTGGTGCCTGCTCTCCCAGGGCCTCCTTAGGAAAGGGTTTGGCTTCATCCCACAGATCAGATCTTAAAGTGGGACAGATGATATGGAGGGTCACCTCTAAGAGAGCTGAGCACGGATTGTGGTGCCCACCTTTGCCAGGGGCGCCCCTGGGGCTGGCCAGCTGCTGGTGACCCTCCTATCTAAGTTGTCCCATAGGAAGCGCCTGCTGCCCGCTGATGATTGTCATTACACTTGTTTGTTTAAAGCCTCATTAGTCTTGTAATCACATGTGCACGGCCTTACAAAATTGAAAAGGACCAACAAGTGAATGCAGCAGCTCAG